TTGCAGTTGCAATTGTGGTTGCAATTGTGCTTGCAGTTGCAATTGTGGTTGCAATTGTGGTTGCAATTGTGGTTGCGATTGTGGTTGCGATTGTGGTTGCTCTTGAGACAACAGTTGCAATTGTCTTGTGGTTGTGTTTGTTCTTGAGACAACAATTGCGATTGTGGTAATGTAATTGGTGTTTGTAAATGTGAGGATGGTAATGATGAAGAACGAATTTTTTTGGATGATATATTAGCATAAGAAAAAAGGGGATGCGTCAGGAGATCTTTAATTGTAGCCAATCCTTTATTCTACAGTAAAAAAATATAAAGCTATAAATATGAGCAGATATAAACATTAAATATTATTCTATTATTTATATACCATATCCGATACCCATATCGATAGCATCATAAAGCTGATTTCGATGTGTGTGTCCTTGTAATTTTCCTTATTTAGACAAGGTCGGTTATGAATATTACAGTGATATGCTTGTCAAATTTTTAACACATTTTTTAGCAATGATTTTATCGTAAGAAGATAAGGATGAAATGTTTGGAATTCTATTTTTTTTATGATTGCTTGGTTTTTCGATATCATCATCTTCATCTAAATCTAATTCCTATAAAAAGTTTAAAGTTATAAATTGTTTGGATTTGGTGTATGCATCACATGTATATACATACGTACGTATATACATACATATTATTACTATTACCTTCTTTTTGCGCTTATTTTGTGTATTTGTAGTTGTAATTATAACATATATTCCAATATCGCATTTTCTTGCAGCCAATTTTACATATTCAGCTTTAAACTTGAGAAAATCTTGTGCATCGACTAGTTGAGTACCAGCACCTGCTTCTCTTGCGATTTAAATATTACATGATAATCGCTTGGCATAATCATAGTATCATTAGTTAACAAAATAATTTTATCATGAATAGATAAAAAAAATTCCTCAACAGATGAAACAGATTCTTCAAACCACTTTGCAGGTAATAAGGTCCCGTCAGATGTTTTAATAAACAACTTATAACCTAATTCAAAGTCAGATTCTTCATTACTACTCAATTCATCTTCGCTTTTATCTTCACTTGTTGCAATGGATATTGTAGGTGAAGACAATCTATTTATTTTCTATTATAATAAAGTAAATTAGTAAATATAAATAAATAAATAGAAATAAACATATACTGTAAATAAAAAAAAAAAAATTACATTATTTTTTTTTTTTAGCTTTGGTTGTATCTGTTCCTTTTTTTGAAGGGTTTAACTTTACTAAAATATTATGGCACTTTCCACAAAGAGAGAATTTGAAAGTTTCTTTTAAATTTACATCATAATTATATTCCATAACATTTTTATGAATATATTCAAATTTTGGCCCAGGCCAGGTAAGTTCGTAAAAACGTGTGTATGCTTGTTTAACGAGACTAGTTCTATTATTTTTGGTTGGCATGCAACTGCATGTTTCATGGCTCAAATCTACTGCACAATATAGGCATTTTCGGCATCCAAAGCAGGTACCACGAAGATACTTAAGTTTAGTATTTATAGCGTCTGTCATAAGAAATTGATTAATTTGGAAAAAAAGAAATTTTTTTCCATTTTTAGAATTTTTTTATATTTATATTAAATTCTACATTCTCAGATTCCCAGATTCCCGCGTGTGTGTGATGCATGAAATTTGCTGATCACAGTAATTTGAAAAGCACGATAAATAAAAATTATGATCATATTATGAACAACATGCAAAAATCGATTAAGTTAAATCGATTATAACAGATGCTACTACATATATATATATCAATTAAAATCGATGAGAATATCCATCGGTTTTAATCAGTGATGGCGATGAAAATCGGTTGAATCTCAAATTTTAAACAATTGCAA